GTGTTATCTCAGATTCTCCAGCATCTGCAGTTCCTACTATCTCTGAAACAATTGGATACAAAATTGGCTTTTCATTAGGAGAGAGAAGATGGCAGTGGAGAGTTGTTTTTTTTGAACTGGAGGCCCGTGACCAGCGGTGTTCCACAGGAATTGGTATTGGGTCCACTTTTTATCATCTATAGAAATGATTTGGATGAGAATGTAGGAGGCATGGTTAATAAATTTTTGGAAGACACCAAAATTGGTGTATAGTGGACAGTGAAAAAGCTTATCTAAGATTACAAAGACATCTTGATCAATTGGGGTCAATGGGCTGAGGATTGGCAGATGAAGTTTAATTTGGAATAATGTGAGGTATTGCATTTCGGAAAAACAAAGGCAGGACTTATACAATTTTTTTGTTCATTGTGCGATGTGGGTGTCGCTGGCTGGCCAGCATTTATTGCCTGTCCCTATATGCCTTTGAGAAGGTGGTGGTGAATTGCCTTCTTGAACCGCTGCAGTCCACCCACTGAGGTTTGACTCTCAATGCCATTAGGGAGGGAATTGTCAATGATGGACAAGCTTTGGAGAGTTCGGGGATAAGTTACTCGCTGCAGTCTTCCTAGCCTCTGACCTGTTCTTGTAGCGATTGTGTTTATGTGGTGAGTCCAGCCAAGTTTCTGATCAATGATAACCTCAGGATGTTCATAGTGTTGAATATAAAGGGATGATGGTGAGATTGTTTCTTATTGATGATGGCCATAGCCTGGCTTTTGTGTGGCACAAATGTTATTTGCCACTTGTCAGCCCAAGCCTGGATATTATCCAGAGCTTTTTGCTTTTAAACATGGACTGCTTCAGTATCTCAGGAGTTGTGAACAGTGCTGGACATTGTGCAATCATCAGCAAACATCCCCACTTCTGACCTTATGATGGAGTGAAAGTCACTGATGAAGCAGCTGAAGAGTAACTAACAGTAGGGTCCTGGGTAGTGTTGTAGAACAGAGAGACCCTAGGGATTCAGGTACATAATTCGTTGAAATTTGCGTCACAGGAAGACAGGGTGTTAAGAAAGCATCCAGCACAGTTGCCTTTGTTGCTCAGACCTTTGAGTATAGGAGTTGGGACATCATGTTGATGTTGTACAGAACATTGGCGAGACCTCTTCTGGAGTGCAGTTGTGATCATCCTGTTATGGGAAGAATGTTATTAAACTGGAGAGGGTTCAGAAAAGATTTACCAGGACGTTGCTGGGAATGGAGGTCTGAATTATAAAAATAGGTTGAATAAGCTGGGACTTTTTTCACTGGAGTGTAGGAGGTTGAGGGGTGACCTTATAGAAGTTTATAAAATGATGAGGGGCATGGATGACATGAACAGCAAAGGTCTTTTCCCTCAGATGGAGGAGTTCAAAACTAGGGGGCATATTTTTAATGTGACAGGAGAAAGATTTAAAAAGGACATGAGGGGCAGTATTTTTACAATATTTTGAACTGCCAGGGGAAGACACGGATGCAGGTACAGTTACAATGTTTAAAAAACTTTTGGATAAGTTCATGAATAGGAAAGGTTTGGAAAGATACAGGCCTATTGCAGGCAGGTGGGACTAGTTTAGTTTGGGAACATGGTCAGCATGGACTGGTTGGACCGAAGGGTCTGTTTCCATGCTGTATGACTCGGTGACTCCCTCTGGCTGCTCTTCATGGATTTCTTCAGAAAGAGCTTGGTGATTGCTTGGCTTTTGAGGAACAATCTGAGTTTTGCAGGATAGAAATGATAACTTTATTTCTCTCTCTCTGCAGAAGTTGCCAGACTTGTTGAGTTTCTCCAGCATTCTCTGTTTTTCTTTTAAATTGGAGACTGTCCTCCTTTCATGTTGAGGTTTAAAAGCTATATATGCACTCGCCCCCTCACCCTAGCCAAAGCTGCTGTCATGAGTGAGAAATGCCTCTCTTCATGGAGGTTGTGTTCAGTAGGAAGCCTTCCCATCCCAATGAGTCTACCTAGTACAAACCATGCTTTCTTGCCTTATATGTGTGAATGTTTACAGGACATGCAGAATCATTTCTGATTCTTACCTCATGCATATAATGCAGGTAACACAGAAGAAGAATGTAATATTCCTGCCAGTGAAAGAAGCCACAACTGTTGCCATTAAATTTACCACTGGCCCTGGGTTGCAGGTGGAATGGGGGTTAGACGCTGGGTGAGGAGGTAAAATCTAGTTCCTCGGCTTGCCACAAATAGCCCATTTAAGAAAGGATTCCTTCCCTCGTGAATACCTTTTCTGAATCCAAATGAATGTATACTTACATGAAAAGAACTAACTCAGGAAAGCCTGGTTAATTTTAACATGTTTATTAGTTATTAAACATGATAAAAGACAATAAAACACAAGATACATAGACACAGGGTAGAAATGTGAATGGTGTAAAAAGATTAGAATTTAAAAGAGATATGGATCAGTCTCTGGCTTCTGCGAAGCGTAAATAGTAAAATGTTGCAACCATTAATTTGGATGATGTCAGTAACTGTGAAGCAGTGATTCTTTACTCTGCCACCAGTGTTTTTGTTCTGTTTCCTCCATGACAGTGACATTGTTGGCTTGCCTGGAATCCAGTACTTGGAATGAGAGAGAAAGTCTGTCATTACCTGCTGCACAGGGATGTCTAATGGTTGCCCTCAAGCTGTGATCTTCAAAATACAGTAGTTCACACTAGCAAATAATAACACAGAGAGACTAGGGCTGCAGTGAATTTTAAAATATTTTCTTGTATTCCTGAGTGTGCAAGACATAAATATAATATGTACAATCTGGGATATAACCTACAGGAGATCGTTTTCCTGCTGAATGAGCAATCAGTTTTGGTCTTGCTTCTCTCCTTTTTAAGTCTGTCTGAAGCTTCCCTGACTCTTTTCAGCTCTGATCGTCTATGATTTTCACACAAGGACTTTTGGCAGTCACTGAATTCTATTTGCAGGGTTTACCTTAACATTGTTGGCTTTTTAAACAAAAATAGATCATGTTAAAATGTTCATTATGTTTGTAAGTAATTCAGGATTATGATCTGTTGTGACAAGTTAATCCTTTTTGAACTAATGAAGACATTAAATGACAAAAGCAGAGCATAATTTTAACCACAATCATTTTTGGCTTCAGTGAGTAACAGTCCTAATCTGTTCCAATGCAACCAGGGAGAAGGGGAAAACCTGAACCTATGAGCTGAATGGTTGAATTAATACTGCAAAACAAACTGTACAGTTATCAGAACTTGAGATATGTGTAGTCCAGATTTTGCACATGAAACATTGTTCAAGGGGTGTCTGTCCTGTCCTGATTGGGTTGTCTGGTAAAGCTGTCTGTTATCAAAGTTATGTGACAGATACACACAACCCAGCCCATTGTGAAAGCAATATAGAAATACACCTTAACTGAGCGTAGATACTAAACAATTTAGAGGAAGTCAAAGAGAAACCCACTGAGGGTGAAATGTTGAGATAACAAGGTGTAGAGCTGGATGAACACAGCAGGCCAAGCAGCGTCAGAGGAGCAGGAAGGCTGACGTTTCGGGCCTAGACCCTTCTTCAGAAAAATTTTTTATCTTATTATCTCAGATTCTCCAGCATCTGCAGTTCCTACTATCTCTGAGAAATGTTGTTGCTTTTTCAAGCCACACTGATTAAATCAGTAAAAACCAAAAGAACTGTGGATGCTGTAAATCAGGAACAAAAACAAAGTTGCTGGAAAAGCCCAGCAGGTCTGGCAGCATCTGTGGAAGAGAAAAAAGAGCTAACGTTCCTCAGAACTGAGGAAGGGTCACCGGACCCGAAATGTTAACTCTGTTTTCTCCTCCACAGATGCTGCCAGACCTGCTGAGCTTTTCCAGCAACTTTGATTAAATCACTTGTGAGTAAGAGGCCTCACAGCCTTGACCTTTCTCTGTAAGGAACCCTTCAGTCGATGAAACTCCTTAGTAACAGAGACAATGGCTATGGCTTCATATTCAGTTCAAAGGATTAAGGAGCCATAGTTGTCAGAGCCTTTGCCTAGCACCAAGGGGATGGTCAAACATTTAGGGCCATGATTTGGTTTCCCAGCAATGACTAATATTTTACCTCTGCAGGTGTGATCGATAGATTGAAGATATGGGATAAAAGGTGGAAAAATGGAACAGAAGTAGCCATTATCTAACTGAAGGTCAGAACAGCTTCCAAGGGGCTATCCTATGACACACATAATGGGCAGTCATCGTTTCCAGTCAATAATGAAATTGAAGTATGAGTGAAGATGAATTTAGCAGAAGATCAGGTTGCAGACCACACAGATGCTGGACCACCTGTTCATTTTTCACTTTCACCACCTTTTCATTTCAGTTGGTTCCTTGTAGAAGCTGGATCACTTTCTCAACGTCGCTGTCACACTGTAGCAAGAGATCTTCAAGAACTGATGCTTCATAATCAGGGAAAAAGCTCTGGAGTTTCATCAAATTCCAGTCATAATCAATATCTGCTTAACAAAACATGGTGGGAAATAGGGACAGTGACTCAGTAAAACTCATTGTGTGAAAGTTACTGCAGCAGAGACTGGCCCTGTCCTAGACCTCTCAACAATTGCAGGCACCAGACAAACTGGCTCACGTTACTTTCCTGACCCTTCTAAAACCATTGTCATCATTCCCCTCCACAGAAAAGTAACCCGTGACCCCTCACTACATTTCCAATGTCTACTTTGAAGTTCCTGAATGCGTTATCATTTCTCAACACTGTTTGTCGGAATTCAGTGGTCTATCCCTTAAATCAGGTTTCTGCCCCAAACATTTTAACAAAACAACTTTTTCAGTGATTCCAAGTAAAACAGAGTTTCACCTGCATCTCTTCCAACCTAGTCTACTGCATCCAGTGCAGTTGATGTGGTCTTCTCTATATCGGTGAGACCAAAGGCAGACTAGGTGTTCATTTCGCCGAGCATCTTCGCCTGGCCTGTAATGGCCAACCTAACCTCCCGGTCACCGCCCATTTCAACTCCCCGCCCCACCCCCACTGACATGTCCGTCCTCGGCCTCCTCCGGTGTCACAGAGACCCAGAACGCAAATTTGAGGAACAACACCTTACCTTCCATCTGGGCACCCGAGAGCCTGGAGGACTTGACATTGAGTTCGCTAATTTCAAATAACCTTCCCACCCAACCCCTGGCTCCCTTTCCAGCTCCACCTGCTCCCTTCCATTCCACCTACTGACCCTCCTATCTAGCTACCGACTGGATTCATCCCTACCATTGACCAATCAGGTTGTATCTACTACCAGTGTCCACCTATCACCACCATTCTGCTACCCTGCTCCCCTCCACTTTTTATCTGCAGCTCCCCCTACCCTCACATCTAGTCCTGATGAAGGGTAATACCCTTCCTCCAGATGCTGCCTGGCTTGCTGTGTTCTTCCAGCCTCAGTGTCACGGATGACATCCTGTGACTGTGCAACAATGGGTGTGGTGAATTCTCCCTGCTGGTTTGGAAAGTATGTTACCACAGAATCACAGCATTGTTACGGCAAAGGAAGAGGTCATTTGGCTCATCATGCCTCACTGGTTCTATTACCTCATGCCAATCTTCTGCCTTTTTCTATATCCAATGCCTTTTTGAATGTCTTAATGGAACCTGTGTCCACCACATTTCCATATAGTAAATTCCATAACCCATCTACTTGCTGTGTTTTTTTTCCCATTACACCCTTGCTGTTTTTGCATATCATTTTCAAGTTGTGTTCTCTTGTTTTTTTTAATGAATGGGAACAGCTTCTCCTGATCTATTCAATCCAGCCTGCTCTATAAAATCTCCTCTCAGCCTTCTGTCCAAGAGAACAATCCTTCAAAATAGCAAAATCAAATCAGCTATGACCTTAGTGAATGGTGGTACAGGTTTGAGGGACAGAATAGTCTAATGTGCTCTTAAATCACATGTTCACCTGGGTGGAACATCTCTGACCAGGTTTCGCCCTCATCCAGTCATAACAGAGGGTCATTCAGAATGACTCTCACTCCCTTTCTCTCTGTATTGTTCCTCTGGAGTCTCCTGAGAGTGAAGTACATGCTTGCCCTGGGCAATGTTAGCTGTGTTGCCTGTCTCCGTGAGACAACGTCAGAAATCACACACCATCAGATTATAGTCCAACAGGTTTATTTGAAAACACAAGCTTTTGGAGCCTCAGTCTGAGGCTTGTGTTTTCAAATAAACCTGTTGGACTACAGCGTGGTGTCGTGTGACTTCTGACTTTGTCCACCCCAGCCCAACACCGGCACCTCCATATCTGTGAGACAACAGTACATACATAGATGAAGGTACAGTGGAGACAGAGCTCTATAAAACTCAATTAATTTATTAAGTAATTAATGAATAACATGTGCTTTTAACTACTAGGGATATCTCAATCACTGTCTCTCACTACGGTGGGTTCTGTAATGAACTCCAAACGTTATAACCCGGGAGAGATGGCGGTTAGCCAGGCTGATACTCTCCTTGAACTTAAAAAGCAGTCTGTCATTCTTAGTATCTTGCAGTTCCCTTTGCAGAGGGAAATCAGGTCTCGTGTAACATCCACATGAAGCTGTTTAAGCTTCAGTATATTGCCTAAATCAGAAAAGGTGCTTCTGCAGAGCTTGAATATTTTGGTCAATTCAGTTTATTGCCTTCACCACATCTCCTGATCTAGGGTACCTCTTGCAGTGTTATTTTCCAAAGTTCTGCTGAAAAAAATCACGGGGTCTCCCAAGCTGCTTTATACACACTCTCTATGCCAAGTTTATGCCTTATCTGGAATTATTCGTGCAAGTGACCAATCCTGAATGTTTTGTCCTTATTTGGCAGAGATGGCAGTTACTGATTTCCTGCAATCTTAGCTCTTGGCTGACCTGAATAAATCACAGAATCATAGAATCCATTCAGCTGGGAAACAGGCCATTCGGCCCAACAAGTCCACACCACTCCTCTGAAGGGCATCCCACCCAGAGCCATTCACCTAATCCTGATTTCCTATGTCTAACCCACCCAACCTAAACATCCCAAGGCACTATGGGCAATTTAGCACGGCCAATCCACCTACCCTGCACATCTTTGGACTCAGCGTAATCCCACTCACACAACAGCCCACTGTAAAGCCTGTTGTCTTCAGCCTTATCCAACAGCTGTCAACATGGGGCTATGCTCAACCTCTCTCTATCAACTCATGGACTCTTTAATTCACTTTCAGATCAATAACCGTTTCTCCCAGTCATACAACAGCAAGATGAAAGCCATCACCCTTGGCCACTTGTCTCAGTAGTCATTTCATCTCCATGCCTGTCTGACATAGACGGTTTTGGTGCCCTGTCGGACTCAAGCTGATCTTCTGATCTATTTCATAGAATCCCTACAGTATGGAAGCAGGCCATTCAGCCCATCAAGTCCACAATGACCCTCCAAAAACCATCCCACCCAGACCCACACTCCCTGCCTATCCCCATATTTCTCATGGCCAATTCACCTAACCTACACATTTTTGAACAATGGGAGGAAACCTGAGCACCTGGAGGAAACCCACGCAGACACGGGGAGAATGTGCAAACTCCACACAGACAGTCGCCCAAGGGTGGAATCACACCCAGGTCCCTGGCGCTGTGAGGCAGCAGTGCTAACCACGGAGCCACTGCACCACTATTAAAACCTATTAAACTGATGATGAATTCCAACTGCTTGGGTTCAATTTTGGTAGCTCTGGGAAACTCGCTTCCACGCCAACACCACCCACTTACGTCACGCTTAATGTGCAGCACTCTCCCTTGAGGGGTAGCACCTGTCTGTCAAACATCTAAAGCAGAGAGGACTGCTGATGGCCATCTGTGAACATTGGCTAAGTTCCAATTACTACATTTCCACTTTAAAATGAAGGGCTGTTTGCTGCAGAAATGGTGATTTATCTTTTTAAAATTTGTTCGCAGGATGAGGGTGCCGCTCGCTAGACCAGCATTTATTGTTTGCAGTTCTGAGGAAGGGTCACCTGACCTGGAATGTTAACTCTGTTTTTTTACTTCACAGATGCTGCCAGACCTGCTGAGCTTTCCAGAAACTTCTGTTTTTGTTCCTGATTTACAGCATCCGCAGTTCGTTTGGTTTTTATTTATTGTTTGTCCCCAGTTGTCCAGAGGGTAGTTAAGAGTCAACCATTTTGTTGTGAGTCTGGAGTCACATGTAGGCTCAGACCACATGAGGACAGCAGACTTCCTTCCTAAAAAAAGGAAATTAGTGAACCAGCTGGGTTTTTATGACTGTGGTCACCACTATGTAGCCTTTATTATTCCAAATTTTTATTGAGTTGAAATTTCACAAACTGCTATGATAGGATTTGAACTCATGTCCCCAGAAGATTAACCTGGATTTCTGGGTGATGAACATTGGTGGTTTACACTATTTAAAATGATTCATTACCTTCATGAGAGTCTCTGCAGGCTGTGTCTTCCATTGTAGTATTGGAGCTGTCTTGGTACATTTCTGTCAGAACTTCAGGTGACCTCACTGCAGGGATACATTGGTTGGCATGGGGCTCAAAGCTCTCCTCATCAGACACAGGAGGGGACAAGCCAGACAAATTGTCCAAAGATTTTCGGCTCCTTTCCAGATTGTCCAAGAAAGTTTGGTTTATCCTTCAGTTAAGAGAGAAAGAGCTAATTTTGTAAAGATTCAGTCCATGACAGTGTCCCCTGGGCATAGCTCACTCACAATGAAATACCTGTTGACACAAAGATTGTGGAATACTCACCTCCTGTGTTCTTCCTGGAGACGCTGCTGTCTTTCAGATTCCAGTCGAGATACCTCTTCTGCTGCAAGTTCACTCTTATCAAGAAAAGCATAGAACAATTATATTCACTTTCTTAACTTAAGATCTGCCCAAGTCCGCGCTCGCATTTCACAAGCCACTCATTCTAAACGCTCAATCTATTCACAAGCCACTCATTCTATTCACTTTGCCGGCTCCTTGTAGCTAGTTCCAGCTGCAGCACCATGAAAACACTGACATCACCACAGCCTTCACTGCTCGCTGGGTGCCTCATAGTTGGAAGAGTTGAAGCAGGGATTAAGTGTTACACTTGGGTTCTCCTGGTTGCACCTGGGAACATTGCTTCAGGCAGTGGGAGGGAGGGACAGTCATATTCTCCCTGACCAAAGAGACAGCAAGCTTTCTGAACACAGATTACCACAGCAGCTGAAACCTCCAGGAGCTTCTATTCAAAAAGTTGCAGCTGCAGTATAGGAAGAAGTGTAGTAATCTTAGCCACCACTCTCACTTACAGTGTTCTGCAGAATATATAGTGGGCATCTGGGACTCCAGGTGATACATTTTATTCAGTGTGTTTAACAACTCCCTGGAGGCAAGCGATCGCCACCTGAATTTCTGAATTTTAAGATAACTAATTTGCCACTTTCTCTGCAGAGAGGACACACCACAGGAATGTGCAGCATTGTCTGTGTCTCTCCACAAGTGAATAAGGGTCTTGTACTGAGACCGCTGAATTACTGGAAGGAGTCCAGTTCAAGCAGCTGCCTAGCCTTTCAGAAGACCCTAAAATGTTATTGTGTCCAATGTGGAGAACAGGCCAGCTCCGTGATGGAGTTATCTAACAATGTGAAGCCACTTCGACCAGCTGACAGCTACCCTACAATGCATGGGGCCCCCTAGTTTGTCCATACCCTCGATACATCACGGCAGATTGATCAGAGTCGATTGAGCCACAATAGTTTGGTTAGTTGATATTCACTTGTGGAGAGACACAGACAATGCTGCACATTCCTGTGGTGTGTCTTTTCTGCAGACTAAGCGGCAAATTAATTATCTTAAAGTTCAGAAATTGGGGTGGCAATTGCTTGTCTCCAGGGAGTTGAAGAATTGCACAGACGGAACATTTGAAGCATTTATTCCCCATCGTGAGAGAAAATACACTGTCGCTGCACCGAAAGGTGTTGGACAATTTGACTCTGTGGTCAGACTTACCTTTCTCCTCTGTTCTTCTTTGTGTTCCTGCAGTCTCTGCAGCTCGGCCTCCCTCTGAGTCTCTTGGTAGCTACGGCTCTTGTTCTAAGATACAAACACAAACCTATTGTTTGAGCTCAGATAGTTTTTTGGCCACATCTCTGTTTGTCTCACAGAGAAAAAAAAGTCAAAGGAAGTGTCAGTCACTTCATTAATTCAGTACCCGAAACCAACCCAGAATGAACGCCATCAAGTTGGATTGCAGTGTTTCAGTTCCTTGATGAGGGCAGAGATGTGGGAACATTCTCAGACTCAGCCTGTGTCCTGTAATATCCCCTCACAATACCTATCAAAATCTGGTCTCAGACACAAGTCCCTGCTCACACTGTGCCCTGGTCAGGAAACTGACTAACCCCTATCAATCACACTTATCACATTCTTTAATAACTAGTGTTTGGCCAACTCTCTCAGCAGCATTCAGACTTCACAGAATTTGAATGCAGGGCTATGGGAGCAACAGCAAAAGTATAAGATGAATGCAATCATTTGATACAGTGGGCTGAATGGCCACTGTCTGTGCACCAAGCTTTGTAAGAGACCATTTTTCCCTTTTGGACAATAAGCTGGAATCGAAGTCGGACACTGCTACGGTAGCTGAAATACTAGGAGAGTACTGCAACTTGAGAAATGGTTCACATTGTTAACTGTACGAGACTTTTCCTTTTGGAGCAGACACATTATTCAGACAGAGGGGCATCAGAATTTTTGAGTTCAGGAAAAAAAACCTATCTGATAACAGTGGTTGAGCTGAGTGCACAAAAAAGACTTAGATTCATCCAATCAGCTATTGAATCAAGAAAGACCATCGATCTACAGATTTTGCTTCGCCTGCCCATATTTTCTCATCCCTCAATGTGTCAATCTGTCTGTCCTGAGTAGCAGTTCATCAAGCAAACTGATCATCTTGTTGGTTTAACTAGTGACAGCTTGTGGAATATTGGGGCTTGGTTATTAGTGCTCTCTTACCCAGTGGTTTGGGACAAAATCTGGGGGCTCACAGTCCAGGACCTTTGAACAAGGATGTTGCATACAGAGTTAGGGTAACTGGTAGAGGTTAAAAGGAGAGAGACCTGGCTTCCCATAGCAAAATAAGATGACAGTAGGAATAGCTAAAACCATTCTGCTGTTGGAAGAGGTATACCTGATAGATTTATAGGAATTAATAAAAGCCAGACTAATAGATTTGACAAATAAACTGGTGGTGGAATTCCATGCCGAAGGTAAGTCTACATTTGAAAAGTGGGAGTATTTTCAAAGTAGTATAGTGAGAATTCAGAGCTAGCATGTTCCTCTAAGACTGAAGAGCAAGGACAGCAAGTCTATTAAACCCTGGATGTCAAGGGATATCAAAAGTTTGATAAAAAAAAAGAAGAAAGCATATGTTAGGTACAGAGCATTAAAAATAGGAGATGCCCTTCAGAACTATAGAGAATGGAGAGGTTGCTTAAAAAAGAAATTAGGACAGTGAAGAAAGGCCATGACAGATAGGATCAAGGAAAATCCCAAGGCTTTTATTAAAAGCAACTGGATTACCAGGAAAGAGTGGGGCCTATTAGAGACCAACATGTGGGTGGAACCAGAGGACATGGGACTTAAATTAATATTTCTCATCTGTATTCACAGAGAAGAACATTGTAGTCAGGGATTTCGTTGGAATGGTGAGGTTTCAAAACATGTTAAGATGAATAAGGAGGAGGTATTAGATGTTTTAGCAGGAAAAAAGGTGCATAAATCCCCTGGGCCTGATGAGGTGAATTGCAGACTGCTGTAGGAGGCAAGAGAGGAGATTGCTGGGGCTCTGGTAGAGATATTTAATATTTTGCTGGCCACAGGTGAAGAGCCAGATGACTGGAAGATAGCTAACGTGGTTCCTTTGTTCAAGATGGGTAGCAGGAATAGCCCGGGTAATTACAGACCAGTTAGTCTGACATCAGCAGTAGGGATATAATTAGAAAAGAAATCTGTGGGTCAGGATTAATCAACACTTGGAAATGCAGGGATTGATCAGGGATAGTCGGCATGGATTCGTTAGAGGGAGATCCTGCCTGATGAATTTAGTTGTTTTTTTTGAAAAGATGACAAAGTATATTGATGAGGGTAGTGCTGTTAATATGATCTACATGGACTTTTAACTATGTGGTCCACGTGGAAGGCTGGTCCAGAAGGTAACAGCCCATGGGATCTGAGGCAAGTTGGCAAATTGTATCCAAAATTGGCTTGCAGATAGGAGGCAAACAGTGATGGTGGAGGATTATTTTTGTGGTTGAAAGTCTATGATCAGCAGTGTACCACAGCAATCACTGCTGGTCCCCTTGCTATTTGTTATGTACATTAACAGTTTGGATGTGCATGTAGAAGGTATAATTATCAAGTTTGCAGATGACACAAAAGTTGGTGGTGTTGTTGATTGTGAGGAGTCTGATATAGAATAGAATCATAGAATCTCTACAGTGCAGAAAGAGGTCATTTGGCCCATTGACCCTCCGTACAGCATCCCACCCAGACCCTCATGCTATTGCCATAAACCCTCATTTAGCATGGCTAGACCACCCAGCCTGCACATCAACTGGACACTATGGGGCAATTTAGCATGGCCAATCCATCTAGCCTGCACATCTTTGGGCTGTGGGAAGGAACTGGAACATCTGGAGGAAACCCACACAGACACGGGGAGAAAGTGCAAATTTCACACAGACAGACAGTTACCCAAGGCTGAAATCAAACGCGCATCCCTGGCAGTGCAAGGCAGCAGTATTCATCACTGAACCACCACATCCCTGGTGATCAGCTGGTAAACAGGGCAGAGCAATGGCAGATGGAACTTAATCTTGATAAGTGCAAGGTGTTGCTTTGATCTGAGGAGAAATTTTTCACCCAGAGGATGGTAGAAATATGGAATGTGCTGCCTGAGAGGGTGGTGGCCACAGGTATTCTCACAACATTCAAGAAACATCTGGATGAGCATTTAACATGCCAGGGCACAGTAGGCTATGGATCAGGTGCTAAAGGGTCTGTTTCTATGCTGTATGAATGTCTATTACTTTAAACACAGGTGGGACTTGGTACATCAAGTATAGAGTCATAGAGATATACAGCATGGAAACAGACCCTTCAGTCCAACTTGTCCATGCCAACCAGATATCCTAAATCCATCTAGTCCCATTTGCTAGAATTTGGCCCATTTCCCTCTAAACCCTTCCTATTCATATACCCATCCAAATGCCTTTTAAATGTTGTAATTGTACCAGCCTCCACCACTTCCTCTGGCAGCTCATTCTATACACACATCACCTTCTGCACGAAAAAGTTGCCCCTTAGGTCCCCTTTAAATCTTTCCCCTCTCACCTTAAGCCTATGACCTTTCATTTTGGACTCCTACCCTGGGGAAGAGACCTTGATTAGTCACCTTATCCATGTCCCGCATGTTTTAATAAACTTCTGCAAAATCACCCCGCAGCCTCCGACGCTCCAGGGAAAATATTCAGCCTCTCCCTATAGCTCAAACCCTCCAACACTGGCAACAGCACTGTAAATATTTTCTGAACCCTTTCAAGTTTAACAACATCTTTCCTATAGCATGGAGACCATAATTGAATGCAATATTGCACAAGTGGCTTAATCAATGTCTGTACAGCCGCAACATGACCTCCCAATTCCTATACTCAATGTACTGACTAATAAAGGCGAACATACCAAGCACCACCTTCACTACCCTGTCTACATGCGACTCCACTTTCAAGGAACTATGAACCTGCACTCCAAAGTCTCTTTGTTCGGCAACACACCCCAGGACCTTACTATTATGCATACAAGTCCTGCCCTGATTTGCCCTACCAAAATGTAACACCTCACATTTATCTGAATTAAACTCCATATGACACTCCTTGGACCATCTTATTAAGGTCCTGGTGTACTGAGGTAACCTTCGCTGTCCACGGCACCCCGGATTTTGGTGTCATTTGCAAACTTACTAACCATATCTTCTCTGCTCACATCCAAATCATTTATATAAATAAGTAATGAATTACTTGAATGAGCAAGAATGCAACTGTAGTCAAAGCAGCTTTCACTTAAAAAAATTAAAGCAGCTTGAAATTAAGAGCAAACTGGAATTTAAAAGACTTGATCTTGAAGAAAGAGATAAAGGAAAAGAACAACAAGCTTTTTAGAGAGAGGAAAGAGCACACTAAAGAGAATTTAAAAGTCTATAACTAAAGATCCAGCAGAGAGGGAAGGATAATGAAAGAGAAAAAGAGACAGAGAGAGGGTGAACACTGGCTTTAAATGATGCAAGTAAAAAGGGACTTCGAATGAAAAGGGAATTCATGGGAACTCCTTGGCTAGGAAAGGGAACGTAGTCCTGCAATCAGATTTTAGGGAGCAACATTGAAAATTATCAAGCAGGACCTCAAAAATAGTAATTAATGGATTACTCACAGTGCAAGTGAATGCAGAAATAAAAGGATAAGGCAGAATGTGTGGTAGGAATGAATGGTGCAGGGAGGGAGGGTTTCAGATTCCTGGACACTGGTACTGGCTCTGGGAAAAGGAAGACAGAGAGGTTGCACCTAAACAGAGCTGGGACTGAGTTTCTTGCAGGGAATTTTGCTAGTGCTGTTGGGAGGACTGTAAACTAATCAAGTAACTAAGAGAGCACAGCAGAAGAAAAGCAGTGTTCATAAAATGTTTGGGAAATTAGCACTAGCAGAGAGAATAAAAATTAAATTGGTGAAGTCAAAGTAAGGAAGAAAGAAGTGAAATCTAAATCAGGGTTACTGTCTATGTAAATGAATGAATGCAGTGTAAGATTGGAGAGTTCCAGAAACAACTTACCGTGTGAAAATATGATGTTGCGGTGATAATAGAGACCCGGTTCAGGGAAGGGCAGGACTAGATATAAGTCCTTCTGGGTATAAGGTGTTGAGGAAAGAAAGAAAAGGAGGGGGGAAGGGGCAATGTTGGGTAAGGAGTGCACCAAAGAGCTGGAGATAAACAAGATGTCTCAGAGGCTTCAAGGTCACAATCAATTTTGTGAAAGCAAAGGAACGTAAACCATGCAATTATATTGCTTGGTGCAGTCTATAGAACCCAAAGATGTAGAGGAACAAATAGGCAGGAAAATTACAGTGTTGCCAACATATGGAGTAATTAGAATGGGCGACTTCAATAAATTGAGACTGGGATACTGGTAGTGCAAGGGGCAGCAAGAGGCAAGTCATCCTAGATTGTGTGTGTGCGAGAGTTTCTTACAGCTATGGGTCCAGTCCAACAAGAAATGATGGATTGTTACACCTGGTCTTTGGAAATGAGGTGAGATAAGTGGATCAAACATCGGTGGGAGACAGTCTCACTGAGCCACCCAGTTGTGATGCTTATGGAACAGTGGGGTCTGTTAATCAGGCCACTCTTCAAGGTTCAGTCATGACAGGTTCCGTGACAACTGATAAAGCCATACAGTTGTTAGAGAACAGAATTGCTTTACCAAGAGGAGGGAGGAATTAAAAGAAACAGAAGTGGGACGAAGGGGACAAAGAGATCAGGGATCAACCCACCGATGTTTGATCCACTTATCTCACCTCATCTCCAAAGACCAGGTGTAACAATCCATCGTTTCTTGTTGGACTGGACCCATAGCTGTAAGAAACTCTCGCTCACACACAATCTAGGATGACTTGCCTCTTGCTGCCCCTTACACTACCAGTATCCCAGTCTCAATTTATTGAAGTCCCCCATTATAATTACTCCATAATGTTGGCAAAGGGGAACAAAGAGATCAGGGAGGGTGTGTGGCAAGAGAAAGGGGATGAGGCAGATCTCAGATTGTGAAAAAAATGCAACCTTTGGCTTGCGATGCTTACCCAGGCTGTAGTTTGAGCTGTGCAGTTGGGAGGCAGGGGCGATTGCCTGTACGATCTGTTGGTCTCAATCCTCTGAAGGAACTGCTGGTTTGCTCTGGGAATACACAAAGTAATTATATGTTTGAGCTACTATCGGGAAATTTTAAAAGAGAACACAGCCAAAAAATCCATGTTGACTTCTAAGCTCAACCTGACTGCATTATTTCCAATATATGCAAGACTGATCAAAACTGGGTAGGGTAACACTAAATGGGTTAGAAACAGGATTAA